CTCTTTGCGCTCCAGCAGATGTGGCAAACTTCTACCTTTCAGTGCTGTCAGCCTGTCACAGTAATGAGCTTTGCGTTCCTCAATTGCTATATAAAAGACCATGCAGCCACCTTGCAGCATGGCTTGAGTGTTTGTTTCCTTCTCTGGATCAGATTTAGCAGCCTAGGATGCTTTATTTTTTACTGTTTTAAGGCTGATTAAAGGAAGTGGCTTCCCCATCTGCAGCTGAGGTGTTCCTGGGCCTTGTGTGCCTTGGGGGGAGGTGCAACTTTTTCTGCCTCTTTTTTTTTTTTTTTTTTTTTTTCACAGTGATAACTCTTTTTCTAGGCACATTTTATATTCTCCCTTGAGTAGCAGACATTTGCAGACAGGAAAGGCATGATAAATTGCAATTAACAGTGCCTTGATACTTGAATGTTGGAGGACACCTGTCAACATGGCTGATGCCAGAGTAGCTGGAACTCCTCTGCACCGGCAAAGTCTGTGTTTGCTCCCAAGTAGTTCTTGGCATGCCATAAAGGTTAGCACTTGGTACTAGGCACCATGACTAATGCAGGGAAGGTTGCCATGGCTCTTAACTAAGCAGAGCACATCCTCATATAAAGATGTTATGTTAGGCAGTGTGGGACAGGGAAGTATTAATATGTGGCAAGAAACCAGGTATTGATATTTTTTCCCTTGTTCTACAAATGAAATTTTCTCAGCTATGTAAGCTGGAAGCGAAGAGATTGATGAATGCTTCAAAGGTATAAAGGAATCAAAAATGCAAGTGTTCAGACAAGAGGTCTAAATCTGAAGTGGATGTGATTTGGCTTCTAAAGGTGCCAGGAATGTTTATGTAATGTGAAACTGTGTTTCCACAGTAGAGTGTGGGGCACTTGGCAGCTTTCAGCCGGGCTTGCTACAACTGAAAGAAGACTGACTGCCTTTGAACTCAGCAGGGGACAGGGGGTACCCGTAACTGCTGTAGGGAATTGATTTCAAGTCAGAAGATCAACCAGGTATTTTGAGCTCTATCATGCTGAAGCTATTTGGAGCTGTTTATTTTACTTGAATACAGTGGCTTTCGTTTTAATTGCACTGTAACTTTTCTGTTTTGCCTTGTTGTGGCTCTGGATAATTCTGATTGCACAGGTCTTGAGAGAAGGCAAATGAATTGCACCCAGGTGACCGGAGTCAATCAAAGTGCATCCTTTGTTCTTGACTGAAGTCTTGGTTTTGGTTTGGGTTTTTTTCTTCCCTTCAACAAATCGATTATTGCAGACTTTCCACAGCTCTCACACTCACTAACAAGCACAGTTTAAATAAGGACCAGGCACTAGGCCGAGGTCGTTCTTACCTGCCAGTTTCTAGGCAGGCTTCATTTCAGGAGCTCCAGTGGCATGACGCTGTATTGCACTAACTGACAACCTTTGGGTATCAAATATCTATGTCAAGGACAGGTCTCACTGGTGGGGATTTGTGCCATATGTCCACTTCATTCTAATGAGTGCTCCTGGCACTCTGGTGTACTGCCTCATCCTGAGAGTCTGTTTCTGTTATCTTTCTCTTCCGGAGTTAAGCAGAGCTTTCTTTCTCACTTTTTTGTGTGAAATAGTAGTATATTTCAAGAGCTTCAGGGAGTAGTTTTTTTGTACCTTTCTGTGTTTTCTACAATGAAGTAGAAAGCATCTTGCTGTTTGCCCAAAGTCTAGCTCAAAGGAGTTAGGATTATTGTGTGATTGTGATGAGACTCCTTCCTTTTGGTGGACAGAGGCCTCCCCAAGACTCATTCTGAAAGCTTCCTCCTATGAGGGAGGGAGGGAGGAAGGAAGCCAACCTCCTTCTGTGGAGAGTCTCCTCTGCAAACAGGCCTGTTGCTTTAGGTAATCAGCTGCTCTTTGCATGTTTCTTAGGAATTGCAATGTGATGTGTCTGTAGAGGAAGATAACAGGCAAGAATGGACCTTCACACTCTATGACTTTGATAACAACGGAAGAGTCACACGTGAGGTAAGCAAAGTACAGCTGCCCCTTTGTGTGCAGCGTTTGCTAACAAGAGAAGTGTTTTGTAACAGGAACATTTTTTTCTTCTATGAAAGAGAGGTGTCCTGCCAATTTAAACAGGAGTTTCCATGGACCCTTCCCTCCTAGAAACAATCCCACCAGTAGTTTACTGTTTTCAGATGTACTGTACCACTTTTCAAGCTGGATGTTGTTTAATATCTGGATTTAGTTTTAAAAAATAGTACTGGCATTTGAGTAGGAAAAATATCTGAAGCAACTCAACAACTAAACACATTGTCAAAATAAACCCCTGCAAATGTATGTTGTTCTGGCTTCTCTCCTGCTTTTCAGAGTTAAGCTAACCAAATAGCAAGGTTGCTTTCTGACATTCTTTCCAATGGGGCTAACTATACTGTTGTTTTCATGAAAATCAGGCTGATCTCTGCTTTCTCCCTCCAAATAGAAATAACATCGATGGTACTTGCTGGAGGACCATAATGAATGGCTGTCAAAGCATACTTGTGGACTTTTTATTATCAGGATGTCTTGAAATCGTATTTCCCATGCAAATAAGCCAGATAATAGGATGTGTAGATTATAATATAGTACTTTTTCAGAACTATTTCTATTCAAATTGAATACTACTTCTTCTAGAAGGTTTTCTTCTGAGATTTACTTCAATGTGCTGTCATTGATTTGGTTTTTTTTTGGTGAGGTGTTTTTACTGACTCCCATGCCTTCAGATGATCAACTGAAAATTGACAGGTTTTGTCTCTCTTGGCTTTTATGGTGGTGTCTGTGAAAATTACTAAGAAGAGATCAAAAGGAAGAGAGTAAATGCTGAAAGTATGGTGGCCTTAGACACTAAATGAGGGCAGAAGTTTTTCCTAGGTGACTGGAGGAAATCTCTGTTGACATTTGTAAATAAACTGTCAAATGTAGTGGTTATTCAGGGTTTTTAATATGTATATGAACATCATTACTAGGATTTTCTAGTTGTCTCTACACTGATAGTGCTTTGAATAGTCAACTTAAATCTCTGTCCCTCATGCAAGAGAATAAGCAGATCAAACTTTACAGGTCACATCCAGAGTTTCAAATGGAAAGATGAGCTATAAAGAGAAGGCAAGGAGAGGAGGGGTGGAGAAGTAGAAGTGTGTTTGTTAATGTATGGAGAACAGAGACCAGAAGAATAACTTGCCTGAAGTCTCAGAAGAACCTAGTGGCAGACTGAACCCAGATCTTTTGAGACCCAAGGCTAAGTCTTCATTACAAGGTCATCGTGACTTAAAGAATAGGGGAAAACCCACAAAGCCCAAACCCACACACATGGATGTCCTTTACATTCAGGCATGGGATTCCGATTAATGTCAGTGGGAGTTCCATGTGCTGAACATAATGAGAATATGCTTTTAAGTATGTATACAATAATTATTTGTGATTATGTGGTACACCAAAGAGCTTAATTTGACTGTACTTAGAGAATATGTTACAGCCAAATTCTACCTCTCCCTGCTACAAGAGCAGACTGCAGCTTAACTGAAACCAAATCTGTGCAGGGATTGAAATTTATACTACACTGAGGTCTGGAGGTTGCTATATTCAGGCTTGAACCAATGCCAAAAAAAATTCTTTTAAGCCAAGGAGCCAAATAGGTTGATAATTTTCAGCTCTTTGCATGTGACCAAAGATAGAAACAAATAGTATGCACCATTGCAGAGTTTCCCAGTTATGTTAGACATTTCTTTTGCAAGCTGTTCCAGTGCCTTTTGTATAATCCATCTTGTTGGTTGCCTTCTGTTGAGTCCAGATGCAATTTAAGAGTTGTTTGTGCAAGAATGATTAACGATAGCAGCTCATAGATAATCTTGGCCACAAAAGAGGAATTTCAGTCTCTTCAAATGACAAAGAATTTTTTGTTATTTTAGCCTCTTAGAGATTGGCAGTCAATGTAGCAGGCTTGATACTGTCATTTTTTAAGCAGCTCTGCTTCTGATCCAGCAAAGGGCTTAACAATGGTGAACGTTAAACGTGTGAATAGTTTCAATTAAAATGAATGGAACACATGCTTTGAGTTAAAAGTATGTGAAGCACATTGCTGGGTGAGGGACAGTCTGAGGGACAGAAGAGACAGTCTGAGGAAAAGGGCTGATCTGCACCAGTGCTATTTAGGGAGCTGATGAAAATGCTTTCAGAACCAGTCAGCTTTTGTAAACAAAGGTCCAATGTTCTTGTGAGAAAAGCTTAGTGTGGACCTGTTCTCCTTCTTTGAAAATTTCACTTTAATGTCTCCTGGATTTATAGCTAGATTTACAGAGAGATGAAATTTTAAAAATCAGATTTCTATCTGTAAATCTTGTGGTGCTTTACAAAAAGAAGTCAGTCTTATCATTCTTGTTTTTCCTGTTGGAAAAATGAGACACTGGAAGATGAAGTGACTTGCCCACCCACATCCATTTAATTTGATTCAAAGTCATTGAGTTTAAAACATAAGACTTCATGTTCAGAGAGTTTCCAAAGGAATACACAGTGTTAAATTAAGTTTTTAAGAGACATAATGTAGGTGGGGTGCAAGTGCACTAAATGTTTTTTTCATTAAAATGTTTGAAAATTGAAAATAAGTTATGGATTTAGTTACTGGATAAAATTTCTCTTGGGTTTTACACTAAGACAGATCACCACAAGAGCATTAAATTCCATCTTAGTGAAACTTCTTCTGGAACTTAACAACATCTTCAGAACTTAAAACTGCTTTGATATCCTCCTAGAGTCTGTATGACTTATTCTGTAGTCCTTATAATTAGAAATTCAGATCTAGTCATGCTTCTTGAAGAGATACACCCATTATGAAAGCATAATTATTGGGATAGCAAATTGTAAGATTAGCATTACTGCTACATTAGCATTATTAAACTACTGCTTTTTCTGTCATAGAAGACAACCATTTTTCAGTCCTTTTGGTAAAGTGGGAGATAACTTTTCCTGCTCTAATATGTATATTACGAAACTTGGCTGATAATGTTTCTCTTCACTGCATAAGAGGACAATTCATTATGTACTGCAGGCCTTTTTAGAGCTGACAGCTGCACTGTAATTATCTTCACTCGGGTATTTGTAATCGGACTTGAAACTTGGGTAATTGAACTAATGTGTTTTGATCCATGAGGTTTTATATTGAGCTCTCTGAATGTAATTATACTTCATAAACACTAGCTGCCTTTTTTTCTTCCTTTTTTCTTTTTTTCATCCTTTCTTCAAAAATTGAGTTTCTTTGGTGAGTGGCTGCATGTAAGAAAGTTGCTTCTCAGAAGTTAAGAAAAAAGAAGGAATTTAATCTAGACTAGTTGTGGACTAGATAGTAAGTGAAGTTCCTTTCAGGTTCCAAATAAGAATGATTCAAAACCACGTGATCAGACAAAGCTGATGTTGCAATAAAAACATCCTGCTGTATGTAAAAATCAGATTAAAAAGAAAGTACAAATGAGATATTTGTACTTTTCTTTTTCTGAAGGAAAAGTAATGAATGGGTATTGATGTTTCTTTTAATGAATTTTCCATTCTAAAGTTGTTCTTTGTATCTTACATTAAATTTCTCCTCTTATGTTTCCTTTCTTTTTTTTTTCTTTATCTTTTAGTTATTATTGCTCATATCCTCTGTAATAAGTGGAAAGGTTTGAAGTTATTTCTTCATTCAGAATTTAGCACCAAAACTTTGACTTGAGGAAGGATATGGGCTTTTCTGGGACTACTGTTTATCAGCCTGACCCCTATATTGGAATTTGCTGATTCTGATTTATCAACATTGTATTAACTTGTAATATATAAACAACAGTGGAATGAACAGATAGAGCAGTAGTGTCTGTCTGTATCAGAGAGGCCATCATGTCAGCCATTAGACTTGGAGAATTTGTGCCAGAGTGAATTAAGACAAAATATGACTTTGTCTTTTGGTTTTGAGGGAAGCCAAAGATCCACTTCAAAATAACTTACAAAAAATCAAACTGAGTGTTTTCTTTCAGTGTTATTAAACTCTGTGGGTTTTGTTGTTGCTGTTGTGTTTTTTGGGGTTTTTTCAATTTTATTTGGCTTTTTGGGGGTTGTTTGCAAGAGTCTTATTCTGTTAAATAATTTCCTCTGGAAAAACCTCCCAGTTTCCTTTACAGAATCTCTAGTTTTCTAACTAGTCCTATGATGATAAGCTATGCTAATACTGGAAAAATAGGTTTGTTCCTGTACCAGGATTGTTCCTTAGAAATAAAAAACTGAATGCCTGCAATAGAAACTTTTTCATCCATTGGAGTTCTGTAGGGAATGAAGAATACTTCAATGTCATTTGCTCTCATTATTTTTTACAGACTCATTAATTTCTCTGAATGTTGTAAATTCCTGCT